TGCACCATTCTGCTTCGATTGTAACAATCCAGAGAATCATAAGATTCTAGCAAGATTATACAAATATCTTTCAAGTTTGCGTAAAGCGATTAGGTAGAAGTAATGGTAACTAAAAAGAAGTGTGATTTTTCTTGCAGATAAAGAAATGAAATCCGAAAAAAGAGGGGAGCTTACCTGAAGTAAGACTCCGGAGTGAGCATCTACGTTTGGCCAGGGATTAGTCACTTTGCCCAAATCTTGAAGCACAGGTGGAACAATGTCGAGCAGCTTGCTGACAATCCTGAATAGGGGATCGTCGGGTAGATGTTTTAGACAGAATTCACGGACGCATGTGTAACGGGGGTCGGTCTTGCGTAAAACCGCGTGTCCAAAGCCCGGGATAACCTAGGTCAAAAATGCATAAGAGGGAGAAAACGTCTATGATTTGTACATTCATAAGCGTACTAACATAAAAATCAATCTAAGATACAAAAACATCAACCAGTTGGATAGTAACTGTTCTTAATCGTTATTCGAAATTTGTATGAACGGATATGCTGATCTTGTTACTCTTATGTAACAAAACTTGATGACGGTAGCTCAAGATACGTTAAAGAATACCAGACGTCACAAATAACTTTTGCTGTGGAAGTTTTACCCGCTGTCTCGACGTGACGGGTGCGTTAACACTGAAGGGGGAAGACAGGGCTCCTTCCACCAAGTTTAACTATTGGGAGTTGGTTAAAACCCTGATTATATACCACCCGCACTGCGTAAGGAGCTCATAGTGGCACTAATCCTCGGCGAAATTCCGAATTGAACAACCAAGTTCAAAGTTGAAGCCGACTACCACAGAGCTCAAAGACAAGTGCGTACACCAAAGGCAATCTGGCTGCCCAAAAGACATGAACTGATCTGCCAGTCACCGATTTCTAGGGAATCGCAAAATTCCAACTCCAGCCCACTGCCCCGGTGGTTAGGTTTTTTAACCAAATGCGCCAGGAAGGGACCCCAAACCCTCTACTTCGGCCTGGGCAACCAGGTAGCTCCGCGCTCATGGTCAAACGATGGGTTTATACATTCATGTATGTTCTGCATTTCTTCACTCACACGCTAAATTCGCTCTTCTATAAGATACCAGGTGGTAAATTCTACCACCTTATACAGGACCCACGGTAACAGTAACCACTGCCAGTGAAAAAATATCGTACATACAATAACCAGAATGGAAGTCATCAGTACATTACAGAAAGCATCCTTTGACATAGTATTCTTACAGTAGAACAGTACGCATGTTGTCCGACGTGCATTATGATAAAGGATCCGCTTTCGCGTAGGAGGAATTGAAGACTTTCCTTCAAAAAAATAGCCACTAGCAAAACGACCGACTACAACCCACAATCGAATGGCCAAGTGGTAAGACTGACTGGACACTGTGGAAATAGGGTATGCTGGCAGTAAGATTTCACTACCAGTCAGTGAGAATAAGAGGTAGCAAAGGTTCCTCATTCAATTTGACCCTTTTTGTACAGCTATGAAAGTGTCTCCACACACGTGCTTTTCTACAGCTGTCAATTAACTGTGAAATCAACAAGGCTCATTTGGCGTGCTTTGGACCTTCCTGTACGAGGTTCGAGTGCCGCCATCACTACCCGACTTTGGGAGTAGGCAGCTCTGCTGTCGTCCGGTTCAATCCCAAGCCTAACCTATGGGGCCTTAAGTGGTTTACCACTCTAAGTCCCGGGGCTTAGGTTGCCGGCTTTCATTACTGAACAGCAGGTCCTCATAATTATGGGGTTTTCCCGTTTGCTGTATATCACACCTCGGTGTGTAATAAAAAAATCCCAGATCGGTCTTGATGCGTTGACACATCTGACAGAGTAAATATAAAGTCTTAGACAAAGTCGAGTGAATTGGATGAATTCCGAAAAATGCCCGCATCTGTGCCAGATGATCGGGGACAGACGGCATGACTCCATTATCTAGCTCAGATATGACGATTTCCCAGGAAGAACGCTGGAGACTAACTGTGATCTATTAAGACAACCCTGTTGATTTGTGTCCTTACTGTAAATAAAATCAAATAAATGAATCATCACAATCAAATCATTCGCTCAAACAATTTGATACACGTTCTTGATTGGGGAAAACGGCGCGTTAGTCACCGTATTTTGAGCTCTCCCGAAGTGTAAACATGTTTAATGCCGATGTGAAAAGCAAGTAGGAGAGAATTTCTCGTTGGATCATCTATTTTGTATTGGATCCAGATTAATCTTCAATTGTTTCCCACTTCTTATTCTCGGCCTTTAACAAATCGTTTGTTAAATAAAAGATCAAATCTGAGATTTCGGCTTTCAACTGAATGGTTGTGTGGATCCATAACAGGAAAGCAGCACGAGACCTTGGGGAGCACCAGCGTTCGATGGGAAATTCAGAATATACTCGAGTCGGTTAACAGTGTCGTCAGAACGTAAGGGTAACCACACAAATAACGAGACTCGTCTGCAGAAAAAGCCACCACACTTGAATGCTCCGCAGCAGGATTTGGCAATCAGGCAGCCCCTTATCCACAAGCAAATCAGATTCCTTACTTGATTGAGACCTTCATCGGAAATTCTGGATTCAGAAGTGTAAAATGCAATTACCGACTCGCAGGTAACCTGCAAGGGACATGCCATCGTGCGTTACAATGAGAATTTCCAGTCAAACGATTGACAAGATTACTATAGCTACCATGAGAGGACTGAAGGACCCTAAGGGTGAGAAAAACGTTGACAAATGCGAGGACTGCGATTCGACAAACCCAAGATAAGATGCAGACTGTGAGTTATTCGTAGTTTTTTTATCTCATGACTATATATATATATATACTGAATTGTAAAATATTCAATAAAGACGCTTAAGTCGCGTTGTCTGTCGTTAGTAGCACCTAACCCATCCACAAATCATCGAATCATAGTATTGGTTCTTCAATTGATTGGTTCTGAACGAGCTGTCAAAACAAACTCACTCATTTGCAAATGAGGTTAGTATGACGAAAATGCATTTCCTGGGTGCAAGTACATGAATGAAAAGACAAAATACTACCGGATACGCATGCCTGACGAGTGGCAAGAACTGCCAAACTGGTCGTGTGCTTCCAGGAGAATTTTGTCCAGTCATTTATATACTACTTATGGTAAAATATATATGCACCTCGCAACAATCAAGTCTGAGAAAAAACCACTTACTCGTCCGGCATCCAACGTGTCTTTCACATATTGTTTAACTTGATCGTCGGAAGGATGATCGCCCACTTTAGCACGCATTTCCGTCAGCCATATAAGCACTTCCTGGTTCGCAAGACCATGCAAAGGCCCCGCCAAACCGCTCATAGAAGCGGCAAAACTCAGGTAGGGATCGGACAGAGCACTGCCAACTAAATGGCAGGCATGTGCACTGACGTTTCCTCCCTGGAATTTTGAGAGAAAATATTTAGGTTTCGATCTGCAAATTTAGCATCAATCATCGTTCAATATACAATAAAAACCACTATATTCACCTCTCGCGATTTTTATATTTACTGCACCTACAGAGCGGAAGGTCAAAAGCCTCACTGCAATCTGAATGCAGTCCGACAAATAACTGAAAATAACGTTTCGGCGTTCTCCTGACTGCGAGAATACTTGTTCCCAATCTAGGGAAAACACTATTACAGATAGTGAAAACCAAGGCAGAAAGAAAGAGTCAGGGTTTGTTTCGTGCAGTCTACATACTACTTTACCATTAACATGCTTAATTATGTATCGTGCATTAAGCGCTATTAACCACACCCAGATTGATTAGGTGTGATACCAAAAGACAACACAACCGTACGGAGAAAGTGAACAAATTTTGACTGTCTTTGCCCAACTGATTTATGTTGAAGGTGCGAAATTCCATTACGAAAAAATCCAAGGGGTTAAAAAAATACCAACCTGTCATTCATGACTGGAAAACATACTTCCAATCAGGTTTCGGGTATTCGGAGCAGGTAAACTGGTCCACTCGTGAGGAGTAATTCTTTGCGGACGGTGCGATCTTTCCATATGCGCTGACCCACTTTGCCTATAGACCTCAGACGTCCTCACTTAAGTCGAAATTCAGTGTGGACTAGCCGGTCCACAATGCATAACCTCAGTGATCATTGTTTACCTACCACATGCGTCGTGAATGCTGTTCAACATGCTATAACTGGAAATCGCCTACCACATCTGACTGGTGAAATTTGAGTGAAAAGCTATGGAGTGCACCTGAAAGACAGTAATCGTAGTGGGCTCAACTAGCATCCCCAGTCATCATCATTGCACAGCGCAATACAGTGAAGCGAACTTCACTGATCGCTGCCAAACTCATAATGCATACAAGATAAGTGAGAATGTGTAACAAGGACAAGTTTCCATAAAACTGAAGTAGCAATTAAAATCCGTTTGATTACTTCATAAGATAATCAGTCGTATCATCAACATACTAAATTCGCTCAACCTGGATTACTTGCTTACCGAGAAAATGAAATAATCTGATGAGTTCAGTTCAGTTCAGATTGTACAACCACTAACCATGCACTACCGTTCCCATCTTTCGGTTGCCCATTAGATAGATTGAGTGCTAGTATTGCCATGTTCGGTATGCGTTTTGCACATTCAAAGTGTAAAATGCTACTACAAGATTGGGCTGATCCAGCGCCCAGTCTCACCCTAACTGGGGAAGTAGTTGAGGAAGAAGACAAATATTGCTATTTAGGCAGCTATATCTCACCCGGCGGACGCATCACAGATGAAGTGTCGGCGCGCATACAAAAGGTTCGATTGGCATTTGCCAACTTGAGACATTTGTGGCGCCGTCGCG